CCTGGGGTCACTCCCTGTGATTCTCGGTCAAGCGGGCAGTTCGGTGGAGGTGAGGTTATGAGGATGTTTTGTGGTTCAGGCCAGGGATGTTGGGGACCTCCAGGGCCAGCCCATGGCCTGGAGACTTCCATGGCTACACCCAGTGATGCTCAAAGAGCCACGTGGTGCTGGGGACTGAACTGGGGTCAGGCAAGTCCAAGGCAGGACCCCAACCCTGTACAGTCTCCTGGGCCCCAGTACTGAACTGTACTGTGATGTTGAGAGGATACAGCCAGTAGTGTGGAGAGAAGTCCCAGCCTTCAGGAGGGGAGGGGGTCCCCACTCTGGTGCTTGGTGAGGGACATGGAAGTGGTCTCAAAGCCACGGGAAGGTCAGATGACTTTTCTTAGGACGCCCCAGGTGGCACTTTTTTTGCCATCAGTGTACCTTGGTTCATGAAGACAGTGAGCTTCCAGAGTTTGTACCCAGGGTGCAGGGCTGCAGATGACCTGGACGCCCAGAGGTCAGTGAGAAGCTCTCATCTGGGTCTCAGTCCTTTTACCCTTGTCCCAAGAGGTAATCAACATGCCTGTTTTAGGTTCTGGAAGTACATCATTCTGAGGGTGGGTACCATGCAGGTGTAGGAATATCTGACAACAGGTGCGTGCTGAGATTAGACTAACTCGGAGCAATGCTGAATTACACTGTCCCTTCCTGGTCACCTGAAGTTCCCTCCTCTCTCTCAGGTGCCCCCAGCTCCCAACATCAGGACACAGACACCCCTTTCTCCTTGGCCCAAACTGAAACCTGTATAGTTTTGTAGCTACCCTGTGCCCATAGTGGGGAATCAATGCTTCCTGACTAACACTCACAGATGTGGTCAGTGCTGGACAAGTGGTCATCTTGGGGTCTCCAGTTCCATGCCCAGGTGACCTCAGAAGTCAGGCCCATAGATCTCTCCTGGTTCCCCACTTCAGTCAACACCAGTCACTGCTCTCCTCAGCTACTAAAAGGGTCGCGCCAGGGTTCTATCTTCAATAGCCACAGCCCTGACTGAAAACACTCAGGGATGGTAGGGACCAATGTGCCATCTCCAATTTGCTGGAATGACAGTAGGTTCGAGACTCCACAGCAGCAGAGCCCGTTTGAATATGAAGAAAAGGTCTCAGTACACAGAGTGCCAGTCTGTACTGATTCAAGCCTGTCTCAGTGACAGCTGGCTCAGAAAAGAATGCCTTTCATTACCTACAGCCTTATCTAAGCGGGCTTATCAAAGCGCTTCCCCGCACACCGGTTTAATGACCTTGGAAACCGTCTGTATTTGTGCACCCATGCATGAGCTCCCCCGCTTCTAGGCACCGCCAACATTTCCCAGCCCAGAGCGACCCCCCACAGAATTCACAAAACTAGCCCGTTCTTGAACACAGAAGACTCTGCCCGTTATCTGGGAGGGGCAGAGAGCAGCCCCAGGGTAGCTGGTGGTGTTGGGGAAAAGTATCCCTCAGAGAGTTGCAGAATAAAGCAGGTGCCCTGCCGGTGCTAAAGGCCAATGGACCTTAAGATCCCACGACAAAGTGGACCCCAGCTGGTGGGGCGGGTGTGAGGGGCTCCTCGTGGCTCTGCCCACGCAGACCCGAGCCAGTCGAACTCTTGCCAGCGGTGTGGGAAGGTCTGGAGACTGGCAGCATTTTGTCTGTCTGAGACGGAGGCCTCTCCGTTCCCCGGGGAGCCGCTGGGCTGCAGATCCGCATCCCTTTCCACGTGCTGCAGCGAGCTTCAAATACTGTTCACACACACGGCTACCCCCAGATAATGGGGGCATCGGCGCCGCCTGTGAGAGCTTGTTTCCATCTAATGTGCCTGGAATGATTATCCCTCAATTTGGATGAAAAGTGTTTCCTCGTTTGGGATTTGTGATTTGTTCTCGGAGATGGACCCCGAGACTTTGTACATGCCAGACAGGCACCTTATCATTCTCAACCGGAACTGAAATTTCATCACAGACGTTTCCTTTGTAAGCCCATGTTCTTTCTTTTAGGTATTTAAAATAGTATTTCTGAAGGGGGGGGCAGGATATAGTTGAGGGGTGCCCCGGATGTGATCGCAGCACCATGTGACCTCCCCGGCATCCCGAGGTCAGGAGATCCCTGGGCCCAAGCAGTACTGAATCCTCTGGCCCTGGCACCAACCTGTTGGACCAGTTGGTCAGGAGTGGCTCTGGGTCCCCTAACACTGTTTGGGTGGTATCCCCAATATTCTGTGGCAGGAGCCACAAGTTTTGCCTGATTGCCAGTGGTTCAAGGTACCCCAAAATTTAATAGCAACAGCACAAGTGACCATGACTAAGCAGTCACTGGGGAACGAGTGAGGGGAGTCAGCCCCTGGCTGCCAAGTTTGATGAGAATAAAACGGCATCTACAAATGCAGTGTCCTGTGGCAGGACCAGCTTTGTCTCTGAACATCCCCCACCCCCGTCACCCCCTTGACAGGTGTCGCCACGTGACGGGCAGGTGTGTGTGTGTGTGTGTGTGTGCGTGCGCGTGTGTGTGTGTGTGTGTGTGTGTGTGTGTCTGTCTGTCTGTCTGTCTGTCCTGGGCAGAAAGGGACCACTAAATTCCCCTGAAAGAGAGACAAAAACTGTCTTTCTGGATCCTGAATCCTTTTATGGTGCAGGATCTTCTTTTCTTTTGTTTTTGTGCCACACCCAGTGGTGCTCAGGGGTAACTGTCAGCTCTGGGCTCAGGGATCACCTCTGGTAGCATTTAGAGGACCATATGGGTGCTGGGAATGAAACCGGGTCACACGTAAGGCAAACATCCTACCTGCTGTACCCTACCTGCTTGGGCTCCAAGTTTAAGATTTTTCTACAGTTTTATACCAGCTCATCCTTTGCCATGATTTAGCATTTCTGTGATCAACGCTTCAGTCCCATAGGAATTAACACACAGTTAAATAATTTGATTATCATTTGAATCAGAAGTCAGTATCCCTGGTGGATTCTCTTCTGGTTGGCCAAACCCTGAGCCCTAAATTTAGGGACAAACGGTCATGGCAAATCGCTGCTCAAGCGTGGGACGCCCCAACTTTCTTGCTAATACCTTTCTCCAGCTTTTTGTCTCCCTGTCTCCTACTCTCCCACTGTTCTTCTTTTATCTCTCTCTCTTCATATTTATGGGAGATGTACTAGGCACTAGGCAGGAGTTAGTTTTGTTCACATCAGCGAACAAAACAGGTATCTCTACTCTCAGGGAGAATTTGCTCTTGTTGGCAAAGAGATTGTTTTTCTGTGGATCTCCCAAGTGATGCTCAGGAGACCCAGTGCCCCTCCTGGCAGTTATAGGCCTCAAGGACGCAGAGTTGTCCAACGATGCAGAGTGGCCCAAGGATGCAGTTTCCCAAGGATGTAGAGTTCCCCAAGGATGCAGAGTTTCCCAAGGATGTGGAGTTTCCCAAGGATGCAGTTTCCCAAGGATGTAGAGTTTCCCAAGGATGCAGAGTGCTCCAAGGATGCAGTTTCCTAAGGATGCAGAGTTTTCCAAGGATGCAGAGTTTTCCAAGGATGCAGTTTCCCAAGGATGCAGAGTTTTCCAAGGATGCAGAGTTATCCAAGGATGCAGTTCCCCAAGGATGCAGTTTCCAAGGATGTAGAGTTGCCCAAGGATGCAGAATTGTCCAAGGATGCAGTTTCCCAAGGACGCAGGGTTGTCTAAGGATGCAGAGTTGCCCAAGGATGTAGAGTTGTTCAAAGATGCAGAGTTGCCCAAGGATGTAGAGTTGTTCAAGGATGCAGAGTTGTCCAAGGATGCAGAGCTGTCCAAGGATGCAGAGCTGCCCAAGGATGCAGTTTCTCAAGGATGCAGAGTGGTTCAAGGATGCAGTTTCCCAAGGATTCAGAGTTGTCCAAGGATGCAGAGGTGCCCAAGGATGCAGAGTGGCCCAAGTACTACAGTGTCAGGCCTGAGATTCTCCATGGCTGCATTCAGCAATGCCTGGGAGACCATATGGTTCTGGGAATTAAACTGGGGTCAGTTGCAAGCCCTGTACTAGCTCTCAAGAGAAAGACAAGTTTTTTAACAAATACGTAAGAGAGAATATTAGCATGCAACTAGGAAGCAGGGGTGGGGGTGGGGCAGTAGTTAATGGCTGTTCGGTTTCTCGGGGTGATAAAAGCATTTAAAAATTGATTGTGGCGGTACGACTTGGAAAATATACTGAAAGTCACTGATCTGCACACTTTCCATAGGGAACTGTGTATGAATTATTTAAAAAGTGCACAGGGCCTGAGTAACACTTTAAGGGCCGGAGAGCATGCCTGGCAGATATGAGGTCCTCTGAACTTTCTATGTCCTAACCCCTGTACCTCTCTGTGACCCTCAGCACCGCTGGGTCTAACCATTGAACCATATGGCCTGGTTAGCCAAGCACCACCAGGAATGGCCCCTGGGTCCCCAGTGCAGGACCTGGGAAAACCTCAAATATTTATCTATGTCATGAGATAACTTCTGAGGAGAAAGGACAATAGTGAGGGCATCTGGTCCCCAGGGGTCAGGGCAAGCTTCCTGGAGAAGGTAACATTTGTGTGAGGCTGGTGGGGAGCTGGGTAAGGCCCATGGGAGCAAGCCCTGTGGAGGTCTGGAGGAAGAAGCCCAGGACGAGGAAACAGAAAGTGCAAAGGCCCTGTGGTAAGTCTGCTCTGATGGAGATGGCGCCAGTGTAGCAGCTGAGAGGGCTTGGGAGAAGCAGTGGGAGTGACATGGAGACAAGGGACAGAAGCTCAGGGTAGGGTGTGGGGTCACAGAGGGCCCAGAGAGGGTTCTGAGCAGAGCAGAGACACTCTGATCCTTCATCATCTTCCAGGAGGCCCCTGGTGGGAATCAACAGAGGCCGGACCCCTTTTAAAGCCCTGTCCCGTGAGCCAGGCCCTTTAGCGGGCACTCTCTGAATCACCCCAGAAGGTCCGGCAGGGCCCTGCTTCTGTCCCTCAGGGAAGGGGCCAGCTGGGCGTGGGCGCCCGCACTCACTCAGTTCGGCGATGCTGCCCACGCGGGTGGCCAACAGCGACTGCTCGATGGTCCTCAGCTCCGACTGGCTGAACAGGGGCAGCTCCCCTGGCTTGCCCGCCCGCTGCGGGTCCCGGTGCAGGTTCAGACTGTCTGGCAGACACAGCACCCCTGCAGGGACAAAGGAGGAAAGGAGACCGCCGTGACTTCGAGGTTCACCCAAGGGGGACCCCTGCAGCCCACCCTCCAACCGAGACCCTGGGACATGCGGACCCCGGCCTGGCAACTCCAGAAGTGACGACTCGCGGTTAGGAAGTTTCCTTCGGGATCTCTCTCTCTCTCTCTCTCTCTCTCTCTCTCTCTCTCTCTCTCTCTCTCTCCCTCCCATGTCTCTCACCCCAACTCTCTCTCTCTCCATCTGTCTCTTTCTCTCATTTTTCTCTCCATCACTTTCTCTTCATCTCTCTCTCCATCTTTTCTTTCTCCCCATCTATCTCTCTCCATCTTTCTCTATCTTCCCCTCCATTCCTTTCTCCATCTTTCTCTATCTCTCACATCTCTCTCCATCTCTCTCTCCTCTCTCTCCTCCCCATCTCTCTCCATCTCTCTCAATCTCTCTGTCTCTCTCTGTCTCTCCCTCCCATATCTCTCCATCTCTCTCTCCATCTTTCTCTATCTCCCGATTTCTCTCTCCACCTCTTTCTCCATCTTTCTCTCTCTCCCATTTATCTCCATCTCTCTCTGTCTCTGTCTCTCTCTCACACACACACACACATTCACAAGGACAAACATTTCCTGAGGTTTTTCTTTCTCTCGGTCTCTCACACACATTCATGGGGACACACACACACATTTCCTGGGTTCTCTCTCTCTCTCTCTCTCTCTCACACACACACACACACACACATATTTGCTGGGACACTCACACAGTGGGTTCTTTCTTTCTCTGTCACACACATATTCATGGGGACACACACATTTCCTGAGGTTTTTCCCTCACACACACTCACAGGGACAACCAGCAAGGTTCAGCACACCAATGACCTTCCTTGAAGCAAGGCAGTGGGAGGGTCTTATCATGCACCTCCTGCCTGTCAGCTCACTGAAGGAGGGGGAGGGAGGCAGCTACTGTAGGATCCTGCAAGCTCAGCTGGCAGTAACTCCTGAGCACAGAACCAGGAGTGGGTGTGACTCTCCCCCTCCCCATCAAAGCAAAGCATGATGTTTCTGAAGGAAGAACATGAGATGGATGCACAGAGCTACTGACCCTTCACTCCCGGTGTTTCTATTATCAGACAACGGGACTAGTATGTGCTGAGATGACCGTCCACCAGGGTTTCCCAGAACTCTGGCTCTGACTTACAGGAAGATTGTTTCTTATCAGCCCAATACATCTGTCGCCACGAGTAGCACACATATTTCTCATGGTCTCATGAATATGAGAACTAAAGAAAGCATTTTATAACATGTGATGCTGCTATCCTGACTCTGTAAAGCACTGCAGCCCTGTCCTCCCATTGTTCATCGATTTGCTCTAGTGGGCATCAGTAACATCTCACAACAAATTGTCAAACTTGTTACTGTTTTTGGCATATTGAATACATCACGAGTAGTTTGCTAGGCTTTGCCGTGCAGCAAGATACTTTTGGTAGCTTGCTGGGATCTCCAAGGGAGGTGAAGGAATCAAACCTGGGTCCCCCCAAATATTAAAAAATATCTTTTGACTTCTCTTCCATCTTACCCATATAAACGCTGTTTGTGGCACCAAACATGACTTCCTGAGCCTTCGGGGGCCATGATGGGCAGTTTGAAAGTTACCATGGACCCTGCCAGGTCACTCTAGCATTTCCTGGACAAGTACCCCCACTTCCTGGAGCTCCATCTTTTCACCAGTGTGAGGCCCCCAAGGAGTGAGCGTCCGTGAGCAGATCCCTGCATTTCAGGGCCCTTAGACATGCAGAGAACGTAAGGCCGAGACAGAAAGGCCACCGCGCACGGCCAGCCCCACACCTGTCCCTCACATCCGGTGAATCATCACTCTGTTTGCCCCAGCCAGGACCCCTTGAGTCATGCTGGCTTCCTCCTGCTACTTTACCTCCAAGGCTGGCAGGGGCCAAGTCCAGAAGCCGTTGCCATGGAGACGAAGGGGGGGGGAGCATCCCTCTCTGCCCCAGCTTTTTCAGAGACAGAGCCACAGAGCCAAGCTTTTGGGAGGCAAGGCCCTGCCTCCGAGGGTGTGGAGGGGCAATGATGGGGGAGCCACAGCGCAGTAGAGACCCTTGTCTCTGGAGGAAGCGCTGGATTCCCTGCATAGAGTGGCCTGGCTCTCAGGAGGACCCGGGGGGAATGCTCCTTGTGCTTTGCATTAGGTGTTGTGAGACATTTTCTTTCTTTTTTTTTTTTTTTATCACACCTGCAGTGCTAAGGGTTCACTCCTGGCTCTGTGCTCAGGAGATATCTCCTGATAGGGTTTGAGGTACAGTCTGTGGTGCCGGGGATCAACCCTGGGTCAGGCACATGCAAGCCCTATCTGCTATGCTATCTCTCTGGCCTTTTTTTTTTTTTAAAAAAAAAAAAACAAACTTCAATAAATAGAAGGCTATTTTGCCTGTTGGTTCAATACCCCCACAGCAAATATTTGAATTATTACCAAGTTGTTTGTTTGATTTCTTTTTTTGGTCATACTCTACAGAATTCAGGATTTACTCCTGCTCTCTGCTCAGGGATCACACCTGGTAGGGTCTGGGGAACCATATGGGGTACCGGGGATCAAACATGAGTCAGCCATGTGCAAAGCCCCTATCTGCTGTATTTTCACCACATCTGGGGATGCTCAGGGGTTACTCCTGACTCTGCACTCAGGAATTACTCCTGGCAGTGCATAGGGGACCATATGGGGTGCCGTTGAACCTGGGTTGGCCATGGGCAAGGCAAGTGCCCTATTCCCCTGTAATATTGCTCTTTTACCCCTATTATCAAACATTTGATTATTGGGCCAAAGCAATAGTTCAGTGGGGAGGGCATTTTCCTTGCATGTAGCTGACCTGGGTTCAATTTCTAGCACCCCATATAGTGCCCTGAGCACCGCCAGGAGTAATTCCTCAGTGCAGAACCAGGAATAACTCCCAAACATCGCTGGGTGTGCCCCTAAAACAAAACAAACCTACTAGCTTATTGCAGTTTAGGTAACATGGCTATAATAGTGCTAATGTTTATGGTTTTAATGTTGTTACCACAGCTCATCCCCACCAAAGTGCCCCAGACCCTCCACCAACGCACCCTGGAAAGTTATTTCCAGCCATCTCATCATTCCCCCCGTCTTGGTATTCTCAGTTCTGTAATCCTGGATCAAGGATTTCTTACCATTTGACACTGCCACGTCCCTTGTTTTGTCCCTCTATGTTCCACAATGAGTGAGATCACTGACAGATAAGCTTCTCCCTCTGACTTACTTCACCTAACAAGATGCCCTCCAATTCCCTCCAAGTTCTCAACTGTGAGATTTCATCTTTGCCTACCGCAGCGTACTATTCCCTTGTGGAGACACGTCACTGTGTCTGAATCCCTCCACCTGCCATTGGACATTTGGGTTGTTTCCATATCCATGGCTATTGCACCCAACAGGTGTGGAGAGTTTTTACCCCAGACTTCTTTGCACTTCCCGTGAGACCTGGAGTTTGGAACTCAGAGTTCCCTTCCTGACTCTGCACTTGCACACTGGGATTTCACCCTGGGCATGTCACAGAGGCCCTTCTGCATTATTCTTTTTTTATATAAATTTTTATTAGTGAAACACCATGAGGTACAGTTATAGACTTACACATTTTTGTGCTTGGGTTTCAGTTATACAATGATCAAGTACCCATCCCTTTACCAGTGCCCATTCTCCACCACCACTAATCCCAGTATCCCTCCCACCCATCTCATTCCCCCATCCCACTCTGCCTCTGTGGCAGGGCACTCCCTTTTGTTCTCTCTCTCTCCTTTTGGGTGCTGTGGTTTGCAAAAGAGGCATTGAGTGGCAATCATGTTTGGCCTATAGTCTACTTTCGGCATACTTCTCCCATCCTGGGAAGATCCTCCCAATACCCTTTATTTGGTGCTCCCTTCTCTATCTGAGCTGCCTTTACCCCTAGAGTGTGCGGCTGGCCTCCAAGCCATGGAGTAAACCTCCTGGTATTTATCACAGTGGCCCTTCTGTACTCAGTTTCCACTTCTGTGAAATGGCTGGTCTCTCCCTACAGTTTTGAGTGTTGGGGAGTAATGAGATGCCATGGACCAATGTGCGGGGACTGGCCAATGGCAGGTACCTCTGTCTAAACTCAGAGGAAAGTCAGTAATTATGGCTAAAAACCCCACTTTGGCCTACTTCATGCTTTATCATAACAATCTCCCTAGGAACGATTCCTCCTCCTTTGAGATGGTCATAAAACTTAAATGTGAAAAATATAATTATTCACAGAAGCTCTGAAAGCCAGGCCAACAGAGATTTAAATGATCTATTATGCAAAAATGATCAGGTTTTTTTTCTCCTTTTCTCTTTAAATAGTCTCTCCCTGGTATATACATGAACTGGAGTTATTATTTTCTGGTATGGAAGTAAACTCGATCACTAAGGGGACCCGAGTTTCATGTTGTGGTGTTGATACAGTTAGGAGTTATGGATCACTCATCGATTTTCATTACCTGAGCCAAGCAGGGCCAGGGCCTGTGATCAGGATGGAGTTTAAAGAAGGGCTAAAGGTGGGAGAGACACGACCTCCTCCGCATGCCAATGGCCTCACTCCAAGACTCATCTCAGAGAGACGCTGCAGCTCAGTCATCACAGGCAGGCCTGGTCTCTGACTGAGATCTCCAGAGCCTTCTTGGATGGGGGGTGGGCAGAGGCTCCACCCTATTGGAAGGTCCAGCACTTCACCCACCCACACCTCCTCCCGTATATAAATGACCCAGCTCCACAACTAGTCTCAGAAAGGTGCCAAACTGCTGAACCATCCCAATTCCAACAGCTGCTGCACATGTGGCCACGTGACACCGCCAAATCTCTCAGGACTGACAGCCCAGTAGATGCACAGTAAATCAGATGGGAAAGTTGTGTAGATGCCGCCTAAGTACAGTGAGCAAAAACAATACCAAAGAAGCCTCCACTAGCACTGATAGCTCACTAAATC